CTCTCTCTCTCTCTCTCTCTCTCTCTCTCTCTCTCTCTCTCTCTCTCTCTCTCTCTCTCTCTCTCTCTCTCTCTCTCTCTCTCTCTCTCCATGCTCCCCTTGCTTCCTCCTACACCAACTGCTGGCTTAGTATATGTACATCTCATGCTCGGCACCTTTTCGTTCTGCTTCATCCTCCTGCACCTTCCCCTTCTCCCATCCCTTTCCCTGCCCTCCTCCTCGGCCTCCCTCCCACCCGTCCCCCCAGTCGCCCACTGTACCAATCACAAGGACGGACCCTCGAAAACTGATTAGCAATTTAGCAAGTAATTAGTAATTACCTTTTTCCATGGTTGAACGTTCTCAGAACTTGCCGGCTGATCGTGTCCCAGATCTTCACCGTAGAGTCCTCTGAGCCGCTGACAAGTGTCACACCGTCGAGGCTGAAGACCAAGCTCGTAACCGCCTGGCTGCAAAACCACCACCCACATGCAAACTGGCTGAGTCCTTTATTGTTTTGTTTTTTTTTTTTCTCAATTTTCAATTTGGACTTTTTCTGGATTTTGTGTGTCCTCTTTGCGCAGGGGGAAGCATGCTAATCTTTCCTGCTGTGCCATACTATCGTTCCACTTTGCATGGATGTCAAGTCGTCCCAGCACAAGGAAACACAAAGCGGCCGAGTCCTCTTAGCCAGTCGGCACTCACTGAAGAAATGAGTGAGAGCGTGAGAGAGGAGAAGTTAGTACTCGTTAGTACTTAGTTTACCTGTGCAAGAACACAAAAGCTCAAGGGCAGAGGGGCATAGTCTACATATCTCACCTGACGGTCCTCACAGCTGATGAGAGTCAAATCTGTCAGCCACCCATTTAAGGAGTATTACGATGTCCTGAACACAGACTGTAAGGATCTGTTTCCTAAAAGAGATGCAAGTTATGTGACCAAGCTGGGACGCCAAACCTTGGCTAGTTGAATTTGAATGAGAAAAATTCTGCGTTACGCAGGACCGATCTGAGTTAGTCGCAATCAATCTGAGTTAGTAGTGTGCGTGTGTATGGCCTTACAGGCAAAACAAAAGGGTTGTAGTGTGAGTCTATTCCCTTGACAAAAAAAAAAAAAAAAAAATTCTCACTTTCACCTAGGATATCAGAGTAGCACGGGAACACATGCCCAAGACAAAAAACTTTTAAAAATATGAAAATAAAAAATTATTAAAAAACATTTTTTAATATATATATATATTTTTGTAGAGAAATTCGATATGACCTGAGGCAAAAGTTGTTCAGTTTATGTTTCTGCATAACATAGTTTTTTGGTTTTTTTTTTTTTGCTGGGACCACCTTTGGCCCTTGCACGGCCGGGCCGCCCAGGCAAACAAGGTTACCCGGGCGGCCCGGCTGGTAGCCTAGACTTTCACCGCTTTCTGCGTGTTCATGTGAACAGTTCAGTTATGCGTTTTCGGTTTTCAAAAAAACGTTAGCCACCCAATGAGAGAAACACCACCCACCCACCCACCCACCCACCCACCCCCATTTACAAAAGGGGAACAGAAGGGATTGTTTGCGGACTTTCCC